TGTCTGTTCATATCCTGTGCCCATTTCTTAATTGGGTTGTTTGTCTTATTTTTGTAGATGTGTAGCATTTTCCTGTATATTTTAGAAATTAGTCCCTTATCCGATATGTCATTGCAGAAGATTTTTTCCCAGTCTGTGGGTTCCCTTTTTACTTTCTTGGTGAAGTCTTTTGATGCACACAAGTTTTTAATTTTTAGTACGTCCCACTCATCTCTTTTGTCTATTTTTGTTTGTGTACTTTTCAAAATGTGTGGCAGTCTGTCTGTGCTCTGGACTAGTGCCCTCATGTTTGTCCCTATTTTTTCATTGATGGTCTTCATAATTTTGGGATTCACATTTAGCTCTTTAATCCACGTTGAGTTCATTTTTGTATAGGGCGTGAGACAAAGGTCTTGTTTTAGTCTTTTACATATTGCTTTCCAGTTCTGCCAGCACCGTTTGTTGAAGAGACTGTCACTTCCCCATCCAATGTGCCTAGGCACTTTGTCGAAGATCATTTGGCTCTACACAGTTGGGTTGATATCTGGATTCTCGATTCTGTTCCATTGATCAATGTCTCGTTCAATGTCTCGTTCATTGTACTGGTACCAGGCTGTTTTGACCACCGTAGCCATGTAGTATAGTTTGAAATCGGGGAGTGAGAGACCTCCAAGCTTGTTCTTCCTTTTAAGCAGTGCTTTGCTTATCCTAGGTGGTATGTCATTGTTTTAAAGACCTTTGTTTTCTTCATGTATGATGTCCTTGGTTTAATTTTCTTCAGCTCCCACTTGAATTTGCGTATGGTCCATTCTGCAGTTAGCCCCTGACCTTGTTCAGAGTGATGATATTGAATTTCTCTATTGTCTCTTTCCGCAGATAGAGTCTGTTTTATTCCTGTGTATTGCATCTGATGAGGTCCATGTGTATAGCCATAATATATGTTGTTGGACAAGGTATTTACAATCAATAAGTCTTTCGTGTTGCAAAATTCTATCTTGTGATATGTGATCTCTTGCATAGATGGTATCACTAAGGTCATATTATCAACTACAAGTCCTTCTTTGTTTCTAATGTTTGCATTCTAATCACTAGTAATTATAAATTCATCTTGATTGCATATTAGATCAATTTCAGGTTGGTAAAAATCTTCAATTTCCTTATCTTTGGTCTTAATTCTTGATGGGTAAAATTGAATAATAGTTACATTAATTGTTGCTGTTGTTAAGTGCCATCGAGTCAGTTCTGACCCATAGGGACCCTGTATAGGATTTCTAAGGAACGGCTGGTGAGCTTCAACCACTGATCTTGTAGTTCAAACCAACTTTGCAGTTCAGCGCATTAGCCCACAGTGCCACACCAGAACTCCTATATTAACTGTTTGTTGTTGGTGGTGGTAAGTGCCATCGAGTCGATTCTGACCCATAGTGACCCTGTATAGGATTTCCGAGGAGCAGCTGGTGCTCTTGAACCACTGACCTTGCAGTTCAAACGGCTTTGCAGTCTGGCACATTAACCCACAACACCACACAGGCATGTAAATATTATCCTGTCACTGAGAGTGTTGTCCTTAAAAGTAGATCTTGATTTTTTTTTTTTCAATGATTAATGCAATGTCATTCTTCTTTAATTTTTCATTGCTAGCATACTAGACCATATGATTTTTCTTACTCAAAATGGCTAATAGCAACCCATTTCAACTCATTAATAACTAAAATATCAATCTTTATCCATTCCATTTCATTTTTTGAGAGCTTTCAACTTTTGTGAATTTCCCTTCATACATTCCATGTTCTGATTATTAATGGATTGCTAATGGCTGTTTTCAGCTGTTTCTTCTCATTTTGAGTCTTGCCATAACAGCAAGTGAAGGGCCCAAAGCCTTTACTCCATCCACGTTATTAAGGTCAATTGTACTTTGAAGAGTCAGTTCTTTGCCAACCTGTGGGGCTCATCTTCTGGCACTATATCAGATATTGTTTTGCTGCTATTTCTAAGAGTTTTCACTGGCCCATTTTTTTAAATAAGAAGTAGTTCACTAGATCCTTTCTTAGTCTGGAAGCTTAAATCTGTCCTCCATGGATGAAGAAACACTCTTGGCATAGCTTTCAGCATCACATCATACTGGCCACCACACTATGACAGACTGATAGGCGAGTAGTTATATTGAATTCGTGATTATCAGTGTTACAGTGTTAGAGTTGAAGATGAACTCTGCTGCCTTCCTTTTCTGTTGTTGTATATTTATGGACAGAGCTTGTGCTAATATTTTTGAAGCATGCCTGTATGAATGCAGATTGCATCATCTTTAATGGTTATTCCCAAGTGTATCAGAATGTTTGTCAAATGCTAACTCTCCTGCACTAAAAATGAGACCAAGTGAGTTTTGTGCCCTGGACTGCTGTTGAAGAAATTTTTATATGGTATAGGAAGTCAGACTTGAAGGGTTATTTACTGTTTTTTAGTAATTGTGCGCATTGTTAACTTAAATGATCAAGGGTTGTATATTCCTCGCACCCCTTTTCAGTTGATAAAGCAATGGTATTTGGCATCTTGATGCTAATTGAGACTCAATTCTGAGTCAGGTACACATGGAACCTTGTACACTCATAGTTTTCTTCATCATACTCTGAGCTCTTGAGGCAATTTAATGCAATTATACTTGGGACTACTAAGAATTATAAAATTAATCATGTTTTACCTTGAGTTGTAATATTTAATTTATTCAAATCTACTGCTCTGGGAAGATTTCAGTGATCAGGTAAGTTTCTATATATGTGGTTATAAGACCAATGCATTTTTTTCCCCTTAAAATCAAAACATGAATCCACATTTCAGACATCAAGTCCCCATATTTTAGAGAATTACATGAAGTTATGGTCTCTTTCGAGGAGCTCTGGTAGTGTAGTGGTTATAATTCGGGCTGCTAACCTCAAGGTTAGCAGTCGAAACTACCAGCTATTCCATGGGAGAAAGATGAGGCTTTCTGCTCCTCTAAAGATTTATAATCTTGTAAACCCCATGCTGGGTTGCTATGAGTTGGAACTAACTCCATGGTCCACTACCACCATCACTACCATGGTAGCTTTCACCTCTTTGATTATATACGTAAGAAGTGCCCCAGTTTTATTGGGAAAAAGGAAGTTAAGAAACAAACTCAGTATATTTTTAGTTAAAGAAGAAAACCTATGTAGAAATAACTCTAAGATGTTAATGGTGGTTGTAGATGGATTGTTGTTGGTAAGTGCTATTGAGTCAGTTCCAATTTATGGTGACCCTATATAGGGTTTCCGAGGAGCTGCTGGTGGCTTTGAACTGCCACCTCGTGGTTCAAATCAACCTTGCAATCCTGTACTTTTCCTACAGCGCCCTGCTAGAACTCCTATAGATGGATTGGTGGTGGGATTTTGCCAGATGTCCTCGAGGCATCTTCTAAATCTACCTTATGCTTGGTCCTAGAGGTTGACCAGTATTAACTACGTCCATGGCTGGGCTCTCTTGCCCTTTGGTTTCTAGTTAGGTTTAACCAATTTAGAGCCCCAGAAGATTGGAGAGAAAAATAAGGGTAATTTTTGAGTTGTCTAGTCTTCCATCCCCTTGTAGAGTTGCCTTGTACTAGCTGAATTCTTCAACTAAAGGTCACAAGTCCTCTCAAGGAGGGCTTTTCCATATGGTTTTCTCCTGTGGGTTTTGGTGACTAATATCCCAAAACTTTGGTGACTACCCCTTACTCTTTGAATCCAAGGGATGGTAACAAGCCCCACTGTTTCTAATCCTAGGATTCTTCACTGTTGTTGTGGTTAAGTGTCATTGGTTCCGTCTCATAGTGACCCTATGTAAGGTTTCCGCTGAGTGGCTGGTAAATTTGAACCACCGACCTTGCGGTCCTAAGTGCCACACCAAGAATCCCGGATTCTGTTATTTACCTTGATTTCACCCTTTCCAGATAATCCCTTGCCAAGTAGTCCACTGCTAAATGTTACTGTGTGCTCTTAAGTTGTTTAGCAACCTTAGATAGGTTGTCTGAGGCTATGAATCTTTATGGGAACAGAAAGCCTCTTTCTCCCATGGAGCAGTTGGTGGGTTTGAATTGCTGAACTTGTGGCTAGCAGTCCACTGCTTATCCTATAACACCAGCAGTTCTCTTCCGCTGCCAAATAGTCTCCCCAAATAGGCCACTGCAAAAGCTAGGATCTAGATACTGGCTTAAAGAAATGTTGGTTACTGTCGGTTACCTCTTGGAATAGAGTGAACATTTACATCTTGCTTTTTTCTTAGATCCAAGAGTTGAAGACTGGCTCCTCATGTCCTCGCCTCTTCCACAAACCATCATTCTTGGACTCTATGTGTATTTTGTCACTTCTCTGGGACCAAAGCTCATGGAGAACCGAAAGCCCTTTGAACTCAAGAGAGCGATGATAACGTACAATTTTTTCATAGTACTTTTTTCTGTGTATATGTGTTATGAGGCAAGTGTTTTCAGTATTCCTAATGGGAAAATATTGTCTGCGTCTTCATGTTCATCTGTCATTATGTTTCCTTAGCTATAACAGTAACTCCTTGAGATTTAAGGGCTTTAGAAACTAAAGCAGGTGTTTTCTTTAAAAATGTTATGTTTAGCTCATATAATGAATTATTCAGAGGATTTCAGTAGAGTCTACCTCCCAGTAGGTGGGAAAATACTGTGTGCAAGCACTGGCAGGTAGTAAGCCTTACTTAATAAAACATTAGATGAATCAGTAAGTGGTATTTTTGAGGTAACTCATATGCAGAAAAATGAAGTAACATACTCAAAGTAACCTAGCTAGTTTGTGGAAGTCTGAATTTTGAACCAAGGAATGTTCTGACTCTGTAATAAGTTGTCATCAACATGACAAGTACCTTTGGTTTCTGCATGCTCCAGCGAGCAATAAGATGGTGGACTGAACAGAGAAGTGAGTGTCATACAAGCAGCTGGTGACGGGGCTATCTCTGGAGTTTAAGTAAGGGAATGGAGATGGTCCAGGATCCTAAAGTAGACTCGTGGATCCTCTTTCTCCTCAGCTATAGACATGCCTCAGCCACACTCATTCATTAACTTCTCTGGAATTCTGTGCTTCCTTTCCAATACTAGCTGACCTCCTCCATCTTCTATTCATTATCTACTTCCTGTGCAGCACCATTAGTTATTCTCTCACAACTGGGACTCACTCAGGGTCTATGTGTCCCACAGTCACTCTTGATGCCACAGACTGTCCACCTGCATCTTTTCAGTCTGACTCCTGCTGCTCTAATTCATGTGAGGACTTACTTACCTCAGGCCTGCTCAATCTGCACTTACTGTGCTACTCTCTATTTCTTCTGTCTTATTTTCAAAATTAGCTCACAGGCCATTCTTATTGTCTCTTCTGGAGGATGAAAACCTGAAAGAGAAATCATAGGGATGGGGAGGAGAGAAAATGTATGCTCTTCAGATGTCATTAGAGACAAGCTCTAGTATACTACTACAGTGTGAGGAACACACCTAGAAGTAAGGGAACCAGGAGTAGTCAGTCCTGTCTCTGCAGCTAATCAGCGGCCTGATTCTGACTTAAGGCACTTAACCTTCCTGGTTACTTATCTTACAGAGCCAGGGTTGAATCAAATAGTCTTTTAGGCCCCTCAAGTTTCCATATTCTTAGATTCTGTGTCTGATTGTGTCAATGATTGCAATATCTCTCATATGTTTCTCAGGCTTAGAAGGAATTCAGTTCCTTTGTTGTTGTTGTTGTCAGGTGCCATCGAGTCGGAACCGACTCATAGCGACCCCATGCACAGCAGAACAAAACAATGTCCGATCCTGGGCCAACCTCACTACCACTGCCACACTTGAGTCCATCAATGATGCCACCTGGCTGATCCATCTCGTTGGGGGTCTTCCTCTTTTTCTCTGACCCTCTACCCTACCCAGCATGACATCCTTCTCCAACGATTGTTTCCTCCGGACAAAATGTCCAAAGTAGGAGAGACGAAGCTTAGCCATCCTGGCCTCCAAGGAGCACTCTGGCTACACTTCTTCCAAAACAGATCTATTGGTTCTTTTGGCAGTCCATGGCACTTTCAGTATTCTCCTCCAACACCACAACTCAAAGGCATTAATTCTTCTACGATCGTCCTTATTCACTGTCCAGCTTTTGCATCCATATGAAGCTATTGAAAACACAATGGCCTGGGTCAGGCGCACCCTAGTCCTCAAGCTGACATCTGTATATGTATGGTTAAATGCTGTCAAGTTGTTAAGTACTGTCAAGTCGGTTCCAACTCATAGTGACTCTGTGTAAGATTTCCAAGGAGTGGTTGGTGAGTTTGAACCTCTGACCTTGTGGTTAGCAGTCTAGTGCTTACCCTACATTGCCACAACAGGACTCATAGTGACCCTGTATAGGGTTTCCAACGGGCATGTAATGGGTTTGAACCACCAACCTTGCAATTAACAGTTCATTGCTTATCTTACAGAGCAACACCAGGACTCCTCCATATACACACACACACACACACACACACACACGCATGTATATGCTTCTGCTGCATGCCATCAAAGTGGTGCCGACTCATAGTGACCCTACGTTGGGTTTCAAAGGCTGTAAATCTTTATAGGAGCAGAAACCCTCATCTTTCTCCTGCTGTATATGTATGTGTGTATGTATGTGTTTGTGTGTACCATGTTTAACAGACTGTTGGAATGTTTTAAACTAAATATCAGGAAAGCAGTCAGCCCTACTTTGTACAAAGATATTTGAAGTCAAACAGGATGTCATTTCCAGGACACCTGGTGTATTGTGTGGAGCATGAGTCATCTGTAGAAAAGATACTGCCACTAGGAATGTGAAGGCCTAAAACAAACAAGGAGAAGACAAATGCATCAGACCAAGGGAACTCATGTGGCTTATTTTACAGTCACCATTTAAACATGTCGGGTTGCTAACCTCACAGTCAGCAGTTCGAAACTACCAGCTGTTCTGCAGGAGAAAGATGAGACTCTCTGCTCCCGTAAAGATTTACAGCCTCGGAAACCCTGTACAGGTCGCTATGAGTCGGAACCGACTCCACAGCACATAACAACAACAACCTGACACCAATAAGGCAAACAAACAAAAAAGAGACCAATTTAGGCCCTCACAGAAAGTGATCATACAATTTCTCATTCTAATTCTGTGCTTGTTCATGATAGGCTATTGTAGAGATCTTCTTTCTTCTACTGACACATCACAACTTCAGTTAATAGCTCCTGGATTTAGAGTGTTACTTGCCTCAGTCAGAAGTGAGTATGAGTGCAAGAAAATGCTCACCAATAGAACAAGTTTTGAAAAATAGAAGTAGCCATTTTGTGTCATATCACCTTGTTCCTTGGAGAAATTTTACTTGCTAGCTTTTTGTTTTCTTTTTTTTAACTTTTTAAAAAATAAATATATGTATGTTACTTTGTTGTAGCATTTAAGATCTTCTTCAAAGATGCCATTCTTTAGTTTTAAAAACGCTGCATGGAAATGCTTTGAAATATTTGTACAAAATTTTAGATCAAAATTTATTCACTTAATAACTCCTGTGAATACAGTACACATATTTAAATTTCTGGAATAAGCATTTTGGTGTAAAAAAAAGCATTAAGCATTTTGGTATAAAAATGAAGAGATATCTTGTTCTGAACTAAACAAAGCAACATGCATTAGCTTTACCTACCAAAAATATCACCTATTAAATGAGACAAAATATATGAAGTAACTTTTCAGTCATTGAGCAGCATTGAACCACACAAGTCTGTGATTCTTGAGAGAAGATAAATACGATTCAGTTTTCTGTTGAGTTGATTCCAACTGGGGGTGACAAAAAGAAAAAATGTTTGAGAAAATATTTGAAGAATAATGGCTGAAAAATGACTATTCTTTAAGAACAATAGAAGTCAGCCTGCCAAGGAATGATATCTTTGAAGAGTTAAAAGGAAAATGCTATAAGCCTATAATCCCATATCCAGAAAATCATCCCTCAAAAAAGAAGTAAAAATAAAGACATTTTCAGTAAATAACTTTGTATTGCTAATTGACAAGGAATATAGAGCAGGTCAAGGAGTTTTGGTAGCGTAGTGGTTACAAATCGGGCCATGAACCTAAACATCAGCAGTTCGAAACTACCAGCTGTTCCACAGGAGAAAGATGAGGCTTTCTGCGCCTGTAAAGATTTACAGCCTAGGAAACCCTGTACAGGGTCGCTATGGGTTGGAACTGACTCCACGGCACACAACAACAACAACATAGATCAGGTCATCAATTTTACATCCAACAAATCACACACTTCGTTTCATCCCCATGATTGTAACATGTACAATGTAACATCACTTAGCCCAATTCCTTACTCTTTCTCATTTCCATTCCTCCTCCTTTCCCCAGCCTTCTGAATTTTGTCCTTAGGTAAATGATGCCCTTTTAATCTCAAATGGTTGACCATTCTATGTTGTGCATATTTTTGGTTTGCTTGTGAAAAACATTTTTCTTACCCATGACATATATTTTACTTTTCTTAGTTTTCAGGGTTTTATAGCCTATCAAATTAACAATGACCGCCTAATGTATCAAGCTAAGAGCTAGTATCAGAAAAGGACTGTATAGGTTTTAAACACCACAGTCTAAATATTTGTTCCTCTCTTTTGTTTCTTTTCTTTTCCCTATTAAAATAGCATTCTGAGAATACCTCATCAGGCATTGATTTTAGAAGTTAATTGATTGATAGTGTTGTAATTATAGCTTTGATATAATTAAAAATAGCAATTTACTGTTTGCTCTAGTGGTTGAAATAGTATAACCATTACTGGACTTCTGGTGTGGCGCTGTAGGATCAGCACTAGACTGTGAATTACAAGGTTCAAAGCCACCAACTGCTCCTTAGAAACCCTGTTACAGGGTCACTATGAGTCAGAACTGACTACACAGCTCTTAACATACTCAGAAGATTTTGTAGGAACTGTGTTAGCAGTTGAGAGATTAGAATGTCAATCAGATAGGAGAAGAATTGACTGATAATCTTGTCAGCACTTTAAATTGTTATCCATTTAATATATGCATTAAATTAAAATTAAAACCCTTAGCTGTCCAGTTTCAGATACTGCTTTAAAAGAAGGCCTTCCCAACTTGAGACTGAAGGAATATCAATATCATCATTGAATTAGAGTTCAGCCTTATCAACAATAAGCTTTTTCTTCTCACCACCAGTTAAGGTCACTTTGTGGGTGTGTTGGAATTAAGGCCTGCCCGATCGCGCTCTTAAAACTGCCTTGTTAACAAGAGCATTCTCCTCTCTTGACAAGTATCTGAGTCTTGTATTTGGTCAATCTTGATTTTAAATGAGGACAAAAGAGTAATATAGCTGTGGACTACCACTTCCCATTATAGCCAGTAACTGAATTTAGGAAAATCTAATTGTTACAACCACCTGTGAGTACACTGAGGAATTTTGAGTTGCTCATTTATTTATGGAGTCCTGGTATGGTACTGTAGGATAAGCACTTCAAGGTCAACAGTTCAAACTCACCAGCAGCTCCACAGAAACCCTATACAGGGTCTCTATGAGTCAGAAATTACTCGACAGCACATAACAGCAACACCATTTATTTACTGACTAATTTGAAAGATTGGTAATCACCAGAAAAGACTGACTTTTGACCAAGTCATTCCCTTTAGAGCACACACACATACAAATGTACATAAGATAAACCAGTATTTGCCAGTTAAGCAAAGCACTCCCAGTGTTTTGTCCTTCACTAGGTTAAAATAATCATTCCACAAAATGGACACTTCAGTCAGAACAGTTTATAGAAATATATGAGTTTGTGGTTTAAAAACTTCTCATTGATGTCATATCAAGTGTGTTTGTAGTTTTGTAATTGTTTTAGCAAGTCTTTCCCTCTACAGCAGGGGTGGGGATTGTCCGACCCACAGGCTATATAAGACCCACAAAATCATTTGGTCCAGCCCTGCCAAAGCAACCACAGTTCCAGACATCACATGAGGGGCAAGTTAATTAAATGTTTGACCAAATATAGCAGGCTAATTTTTTCAGTTGGTAATTTTGTATGGCCCGTGAATGATGTTACAAATTTTGGCAAACAGATTCCCCACCCCTGCTCTACCGTGCCTGCTGACTCAGCTGAGAACCTCACACGGAGACTTTATTAATCAAAACTACCTTTGTTGTAGCTGTTGAGTAAACACTTCCTTCTTTAATATGCATGCGCTCTCTTGCAGTTTGTGATGTCTGGCTGGGGCACAGGTTATTCCTTTCGATGTGAAGTTGTTGACTATTCGCAGTCACCTGCAGCCTTGAGGGTAAGTTTCTCTTTGGAACACCTTGTAACTCAGAATCAATTCTTACAGCTTTTGAATTTGAACTCTTACATGTGACCTAAGAATGAATCAGTAACTCAATGACCAAATGATATCTATCATAAAACAAAATTAAATAGAAGAAAGACTCACAGGATGGCAGGTGGGTAGTTTTCTGAAACATGGAAAGTGATGCATCTTGAATTTCTCGGTGTTAAAAATAAATTCATATTTTCGTGTGTTTCTACAGATGGCACGCACCTGCTGGCTTTATTATTTCTCCAAATTTATTGAGCTATTAGACACTGTGAGTATGTTATCACCACATTTGGTTAATGTTTGATATTTCAGTGAACACAATAGGCTTCTATAGTTCAGTTGTCTGATAACTTTGGTTATCTTTTCACCTCAGGCAGGTATAATATTATCTTTTACCTTTTATCATCATTAATTTTAGAAAAGATCTAAGATAGCCTTATTTTTCAGTGTTTCCCAGACTCCAAAAAATATTCTTTTATATCTACCACATGATTAAAGTAATCATGTAACTGATACACACACAACAGAACAGCGCATCTTTATGCAGCTAAACGAGAGTCACTTTGTGAAGAAAGTTCAGGAAGCAAGTAGCAGAGAATGCCTTACCTTTGGTTCTGTAGACTTTAGCACTGTGTTTAGTCATACTCTATTAAGGGTATAAATGTTTCAAAATTCATAAACATACACTCAGATACTAATTTAAATGTAGGGTATAAGTAATCTTGGCTGCACAAAACTATCCCCAGCTGCCTTTCTGAAATCTGTGCTTACTGGACTCTCTTCCTGCTTGAGGTTCTGTTGAAGATTAACTCTGAACATGGGTGTCTGGACACTGGAAGAATTAAGTGCCATGGATTAGGGTTAGCGATAAGAGGAAGCCCCGCGCCTGTGTTTCCAGAGTAGCTTAGGAAAGTTTATTGTATCTCTGTGGCATGTGAACCTGGATCCAATTCTGATCTGAGGCTGGTAAATGCGCCCTCTCTTCAGAATATATACACGGAATTTCTTGTAGCAAATCTTGACAGGCTTCACCTTTCAGTTGACCAATCAGGTAATGTTAGAATCATAAGGGATTTTAGTGAACCAAATCCAGTTTTTTCAGCTTTTAGTACTCATCATAATTACCTGGAGGGTTTGTTAGAATGCCCCAACCCTGGAGTTTCTGATTCATTAGATCTTAGATTAGGTCTCAAGAATTTGCATTTCTAGTCAGTTCCTGGGCGATGCTGATTTTGCTGGTCCTGGGACCACCCTTTAAGAATCCTTGCTTTATTATAAGGACAGTGGTTCTCAGCTCTCATGGTGTAGTAGACTTAATTGCAGTAGAGCTAAATTAAAGAACTAGACCCTACTCCCAGAGATTTGATGACAGATGGTCTGGTATAGAGGCCAGGTATGGCTATTTTAAAATAAGATTCTTGGGGTTTATAATATGTAGCAAGGTAGGGAGAACCATTGACCTAATCTAGAGCCCTCAATTAGAAAAAAATTGAAGCCAAGAAAAGATTTGCCCAGAGAAATGCCACTGATGACTGGCACTAGGACCCTGGGTTGCTAGTTTATGGCTTTTTATGTTGTACCATGCTGCCTGCCTCCATGTGCATAAGCAAGTGAATTTTGACTTCCTTGTTTTTGTTTTGCATGTTCTCAGTTCTACTTTCCATCAATAAACTGGTTTTACCTCCTGTGTCCTCTTCTAAACTACATTTCTCAAATACTCATATTAGTCGGGTTCTTTGTGCTACTCTGGCTGCTCTCATATTTTAAAAATCAATCTAGTCACTGGTTTTTCTGAATTTTGCCTTTGGATTTTTTTCAAAAAGACTTTTTCCTCCAAAAAAATTTTTTTCCAATTCTATGATTTAGGCAGCTTTGCTTTCTTTCCCATTCTGTCTCTAAAATGGATTCTTCCAGTTCTCCTCCTTTAGCCGTTTGTTAACTTCTGATGTGTTGCAAGACCTCTTTCAGTTTGTTTACTCCCTTATCCAATTGGAAGAATGTGATAGAGAGCAATGCAGAATCATTTCAGTTTGAAGAGTTACAATTCTTCTGCTTTTCCATACACACACATCTACATATAACAATAGCATTTCTTTTGGCAATTTTTGGCCATATTCTTTATGTTATAGCCTTGATTTTTAACTTTACATAAAATTTTCTTTTACATTATTGGTTCTTCCATATTAGACATCATACTTAAGTTCTTCCATACTAATTAGTCTTTGAACGGTGTCCCTCGTAGTGTTGGCTGTTTCTGAGAGCGTTCCATAAGGCAACTCTATCAAAGCAAATGATAGTGTGAGATAGTTTGCACTTGACCAATATTTTTGCAGTACTAGATAAGTTATTGCATGATTTTATATGAACTTGATTTTCTTTAAATTATTTCAGATCTTTTTTGTTCTGCGTAAGAAAAATAGCCAAGTTACTTTCCTGCATGTCTTCCATCACACCATCATGCCATGGACCTGGTGGTTTGGAGTCAAATTTGCTGCAGGTAGCCAAGGGAGAGTTGGGATCATGTGTTACAAACAATAACATTTCTGTCTGCTATAAATGGAGTCTCTGGCTGGTGCTCTCAGCTGCTAGCTGAGGAGTTTCAGCCCGTCCCGAGACATCTCGGAAGACAGGCCTAGCAGTCTGCTTCTGGAAGGTCACAACCTTGAAAAATCTTATGAAGCAGTTCTACTCTGCTCACATGGGTTGCCATGAGTTGGTATCCACTCTATGCCAACTAACAACAGTAGTGCTATAAATCAAAATCATACTCTTAGCTTTGATTTCGTGGAAACTCATATAGAGCAACTGAGGAAGGAGGAGAGCCAAGAATAGGAGGAGGAAATGTAATGCTTGGCAAATTGTCTCCAAGAACAATTGACTTCTTTGCTGTGAGGCCAGAACTACATGATGCTTGGCTACCATTGTTGAAGATTTTGAGAAAACATTCTACAGAAGAATTTGGAATCCAATTTCAAATTCTTAGAGTCCAGATTTTCTGGAGCCGATAAGACTGGGTGAAACCCCAAAACTGTTGCCCAAAGAGAATCTTTAAACCTTAAACCAAAATATCCCCTGAAGTTTCTTTTTAAAAAACAGACAGCAGTTTAGCTTAATTAGTAAAAACAAATCTGTTGAGCCTTGCTCTTTTTAAGACCTATCTATATGGAATCAAATTGACAACAGCAACTCAAAAGATAAGAGGATGCCCAAAGGGTTTGAATTCATTGTAACTCAGGTGGGAAAGGAGGATGAGAATGGTTGTACAATTTGAAGAATGTAACCAATGCCACTATTGTACTATGTAGATATTGTTGAATCTGTATGTTTTTTCTGGGTATATTTTCACAGTAACAAAAAAAAAATAGGGGAAATAATTTTTAAAAGTCTCCAACAAACATCTGAACAAAGTACTCCCTGGTAGTACAAGAGTTTGCTTCTGATTCCTAACAGTTGCCTGTGGTAGTGTTTCCTGGGGCCATTTCTACTGGCATTAATCTGAAGGACTGTAAGCCAGTGTGTAGCTATTTGTGAGTTTATTTGCTATATGATGTATAAATCATTATCTCACACAATTTTTTAAAACATCAAGAAAAAAAAATCACAAGTTTACCTCAGTCAGACTTCTGACAAATTATTATTACCCAGAACATAAACATAGGACTCTTCACTAGGTTTTCGCCCAACTCTTCAGCTTCATGTGATTTGGGGCGTAGTCTATACATATTCCTGTTGTTTTACTTAGATTATATTATTTTCCCATAAAGTTCTATTAAATGTCCTTAATTTTGCCAAGCCCCTGTGGGCCCAAGCGTTGTTGACCGTCCAAACCATAGGCTCTGAGGATCAGACTCTAGCTACCTAGTAGACATAACAAACTGTCCCTCATCTGATTATTCAGTAATGCTTGTTAGTAATCTCATACGTGAGCCCTGGATATCCACAGACAAATGTAAAAACCTCCCCTAAAAGCC